CGACTTTATTTAGGTACTTACATGCGTTTTCCAAAAAAAAACAACAAATTTCATACGAATATACGATTGATTGCGATTCTTCCAAACGTATATCTCGCACGCGGTGTGTAATAACATGACAAAACTTTATTTCGCCCAACATACATATATATTATGGCTACGATATGTACATTGTACGTGTATGGTGTATATTACCACAGCGAGTTTCAATCAAAATATACAGTTCGCGTTTAACCGATACTGCCGCACTATATGTTGTTTACACGGAGATGAATATTGTAGATGGAATATATAGCACCTATATACGACGTATATCATTTGACTGCAGGGAGGATAATATACGTACGAAACGCAGTGTAAATAGCCCTTTGTAGTTTGTTCGGTAATATTGTCAACCAGATCTATGACGACAGTTGGTCAAAAATGAAACAAATCTCGCACGACTAATATTGCAATTTCTCTGAACGTGTCTATATACTTTAAGCTACCCGTGCATTTGTTGTCTACATTTTACAAACGTCAGACATACCAAATTTTCGTTCCACAGTTTCGATTGTGTGTACCTAGTCAGTTTAGATATTAGTGTGAATCAGTGACGTATACGGGGGTTGGGGGTCCATGGGATCCGGACCACCCCCCCTACATTGGCCCCATAAATACCTATCTAAACATCTAATATATTATACATAAATAAATTCTGTAGCAAAGCCCCCCACTAAAATGTATTTGGAAAATTAGCTGGATCCCTGAATAAAAGTGCCACTGGTGTGAATTCACCTATTATCAAACTTATATGTAAGAACATTATCGGTTTTTTTTTAATATTTTAATTTCCAGCCGAGATAATATGAGCATTTTAAATTAGTGATATTTCACATATCCATTTTTTGCTTGAAAATTAAAATATCAAAAAACCGTCGACGGCTAAGCACAGATAATGATCCTACCTAACAGTCTACTAATAGGTATATAGGAGTAACATACAAATACACAATTTAAACTATAGTGAACGGAAATTTGCCATGTCAGACCTTTAGAGACAACAAACGCATGGGTAGCGTCTGAGACGTCTCTTAAAACGTATCGCTCTGGCACGACATGCAATAACACGTCAGAACTTTATTTCCTGTAACATAAATAATATATTATTATACACGACTATTGCCTATTGGGTAGCTACGATATGTACCTGCTTGTTTATTACCAGGGTGAGTTTCAATCAAAATATATAGTGCGCGTTTAACCGATACTGCCACTATGTGGTTTTCACGAAGATGAATATTGTAGAAGGAATAGTATACCTGTACCAACCCACTGACTGTGAGCATACACGTATACGAAAAGATGTGGAAATAGCAAATAGACGGTGTATTATGTTGGATAGATTATCTCCTCTTCTACAATATTGATAATAGGTGTATTTACTCCCGAACCGCTCAATAAACCATATTATTGGAAATACAAAAATACATTTTCATAGAATTTTTCAATACTATTCATATCTCTTAACCAGATCTAGGGCGACAGTCAGTCAAAAATATTCATCAATAGATAGTTCATCAAATACAATTCGTCAAAAATGTATTCGTCTAGGAATAACACTTTTTGTCAAATTATTTTTATGGTCATCAAATAATGAAAACAATTTCGAATCAGCCAAATAAGGAAATCATTTATTATACTTAAACTTATACTAACACTAAAAGAAGTCGTCGAAAAAAAATGTTTTTTTTTAAATTTAAATTGGTTTTAAATTATAGACGGCAATATATTATTAAATTTTAAACTTATACCTATAGTATTTTATTTTTAATTGCTCGCCAAACTACTTATTTCAAAAAAAAAATATATATATGTTTTTAAATATTATATTATATCATTATAAATTACTCAAAATACAGTTAGGTCAAAATATATTATATAACATGACAGTGATGACGTGTATTATTACACCAAATACCTGCTTTATTGGTACTAATTGAAAGATAGAGAACAGTTTTATATTATTATTTATTGAATGCTTCTATTAACGAGGAAATTCATGACAACCCGGAAATAAGTATTATTTGTTCAACTGTATTTTTGATGAATTATGTATTTGATGCCTTTTTACCAACTGCCTTTTTTTTGACAAATAGAGTCACTTTTAACGAACTCGCCGGATACCTCGTTATCCTCGTGTATTATATAATATCATATTATACTGCTCAGTGCTCACTAAGTCTGTGACCTGCTGAGCTTTGTAGGCGACGATTATTAATAGGACGGTCCACCCTTCATTCCTCCTAAAATATATTATTAACGGTTTGCGCTTTAATAATTAATAATATATATATAGTTTGAGCAAGTTATATAATATATTATATAAATATACGGCTGTTACCGCTAGTCCGTGTAAATGTCAACCGACCAGTAGTGTATATTATAGTAAACAATGATGATTAAAAGGTTCGTAACAAAACTCGTAAACTATATATAGACAATCGCGTTTCCGTGATTAAAAAAAAAAATAATAACAATAAAGAAAGAAACAGAGTACGATCTCCTGTTTTCATTTCGTTTATATATATAATTTCGTTAAGAGATGAAATGGCTGTTGTTAGGATTTACGGCTTTAGATGTCGATTCGTATACACGTATCAATATACGACATTACGAATCTTGAGACAAAAACCGCAGTCGTTACGACTTTAATCCACGGTGACAGATTTAATAAAGTGTAATTATCGGTAGCCTGCGTCAGTCGGCCAGACCGCGAGAGCTGATGACGTAACGGCGCTTTTCGTCCGGACTTTATTGTTCTCCTATATAAATACGATCACGTCTTACTTGTAGTCCAAATCCCTCCAATAAAGCTTTCGGTAGTAATAATTGAAGATTACATTTTATATCCTGCGTACGAGTATACTGGGTGATCTTTATTTCAAGTTCACTACCAGGCTTTATACATTACTATAGGCGTTATCGCAGAAAATATTCTAATTTTTTTTTTTTACGCACATAGCACGACAGCAGACAGTAAACTACTCAGTACTCATATTATGTTATTAATTTACTATGCAATGTATAGTTAATACATAATTATATATTGATACTTGATACATAATTATATAAATATATTCAAAACTTGCTACCCATACCTAGTTTTTGAAAATGTAACACTGCAGGATTGATATTATAATAATATTATATAGCATGCCGTTTAAACACAGATAGATTAATACTGTTTTATAGAATAAGCGAGAGGCACTCGAAAACAATTACGATGACATTATACGAACAAACGTGAAAAACAAATATTTCATTTCCTAAAAATACAGAAAGAAACCCAAAAAAACAGCATACTGACATAATATTATATTTAACGTCTGCACTCGAAATGAAAAAGAGTCACCCTGTGAATGTGTGTTTGCGTGTGCGTGCGTATATGTGTTTTGATCGGCTCTTTTCTCATATATATATATGACCTCATAATTGGTCGTCCAGCGGCGATTAAGTCACGAGTCTCAGCGGAAACGCATATTGCAGCAGAATCGTCAGAGTCGATGACCATCGCTCGACCACCCTGGTACACGTGTGGACGGACGGGTGCAAGAAAAACTTAGAGGATGCGTTGGGGGGGAGGGTTGCGAGGGGACCGCCGGCTGTGCATGGTATAGTAATACAGCTAACTTGTGCGTATATATTTATACAGGGTGATCCCCATTCATGACGGGTCCACAAGGAACGTGAAAGCAAAACATAAACACTGGACTTTTCACAACGCGGACGGAACAATCTAAATAGTTGTTTTTTAAAAGTAGAAGGATGGTTTTGACTTTTCTCTGTGTGTGAACCCGCGGGCATAGAAGACATTCGTTATTTTAGAAAACACCGAAGTTTTTGGAAATATTTCTTTTACATATTGTAATTTAATGTCGTCGTGAAACAACTCTTTTTTTGCTCGTTCAAAAGAGTAGATAACTTAAAAAATAGTTTTAAAAAAAAAAGTTTCACGACGACGTAATAAAGAAAAATATGTAAAAGAAATATTTCCAAAAACTTCGGTGTTTTCTTAATTCGATTAAAAATGAATGTTGTCTACATCCGTATTTAATTTAATTTTTAGAAGTATTTGGATCTATAAAATCAAATTCTGGAAAAGTATTTAGTTATTAGTTATAAGTATCTATTTAGATTTGGATGAGGGGAGTAGTGGACCAACATTTTCCGGGAACAAATCTCTACTTCACTTACCTATCTAAACTTTAATTGCTTATTAGTTATTAGTTATTACTAGTTATAGACAACTGGTCCAAAGTTTAATTTTATATACATCTAAGTACTCCAAAAAAATATTCTGCTTTGGGACGAACACGTTGTCATTAAATAGTAAAAAAAAATTATAAAAATTATTTTTTTAGAAATATATTGATCATTTTAACGACTCAAAACTGAGTTAAAAATATTTTCAAAAACGGTAATAGATTTTCTAAATAATGAATGTCTCACATTAACAGGATCACCCTGTATATCCGACATAAAGTGCGTGCGTATAAATCGCGTGTACACGCACACGTAGGCTTCTCGCGCCGCACACGTACATGGGGCCAGCCAACACTCCAACAGTGGGTGCGATTGTGCGCCGGCGCCCGCGTCCCCCGGTCCAAACGATTTACGTCGCCCGGCGCTACGGCGGCGGCGACCCACATAACGGTCGGAGGTGGCGGAGGTGCCGGCGGCGGCGGCATTTTCCCCCTATAAAAGCCACGCGAGTGTAGCACGTACGGCGGCAAGCGCATAGCAGTCGCATTCGGTCGTTCTACCGAAACGCACTGCCGTGGTATCGCACAGAGACGCCGTGTATATCGACACAATATCAGTACGACATCGTACCGGTAACGGCACACACCGCTGCGATATCTCCGAACGCCACTAATTCACTCGTCAGAGAATATCATATTTCCGCCAGACACGTCGTAGTCAACGGATTTGCGCCACTCAAAAATATACCGTCGCACATGGTGAGCATGGCCGAGACGGACGGCGGCGCCAACTGCACTGCCGCAACCACGGCCGAGACTTTCGGCCACCGCGGAGACGCTGACAATGGGTTACGGCTACTCGAGGCGGCCGCAGACGTGGATGGCCGCGTTCGTGGACGCAGTGGCTCGTCCAGCAGCGGTGGTGGTGGAGGTCGAAACAAGGGAAGTCAGCGGCGGAACGGCTCGGTGGCCGGAGACCGCCGTCGCAGCCGACAGCCGGACGGAGCGGCCAGTTGAGGGTACGAGAGACCGCAGCCGCAGCCGCAACGGCCACCGTCGCCACCGCCAAGACGGATCGGCGACCACGGCGACTGTAGCAGCAGCAGCACCGGTACCAGCATCGGCACCAGCACCGGCAGCACGTGCACCACGGGACCGGCGGCGGTGTTCAAGTCGGCACTGGCCAAGTACCCTCACATGTCACTGTCCCTGTCACCGCCGTTCAACCGGCGCCGGAACCTGCCGTCGTACAGGGGACGATGTAGCCTGTAAGTGTGCCCAATATAATTTATAAATATATAATAGTCGCCTTATAGGCAAGATAGACTACTTCCGGAGATAACCGTGGTATAAGGTCTACGAATATAGATAATATAATATTAACAATAATACATTCAAATTTGTTTACGTTTCACGACGTCTCTCTTCGGCGAGACGTGTTTGTAGTTTGTCCGTTTCTACCTACAATATAAACGTCAAAAACGAGTCTCGAAACTTCTGCATGAAATATATTATATATACATGTTATATATATTATAATATTTTATAAAAAGAATATTATTACAATATGAGCAGGATCCGTCCCCGCATGTGTTGATCGAACGCCGGAGGATAGACAGCGGAGAACGAAATTATCACGCATTATCATAATAATACTACTGTTTACTTATATTATAATAATGCCAATGTCGTACATCATACGCTGATTTCGCACATTGCTTATACTTATCTCTATGGTACAAATCACTGTGATGTACGACAATATTTACTTACCGGTCTTCCTATAAATTTTATCGTCTCTATATTATATTATCTCGATAACTTTGTGCAAACTGTTGAACGGCTAGCAAACATCACACTACTGCAGCTGCAGCACTGCGTAAGTCCTCGTACAGAATATAGGTACCATTATTAAATCGACTAGCGTGTGGGGCCGTTTAAGTTATTAAATTACAAATTTAGTATCGTTATTTACACGCAATAATAATATTACGATTTCATATTTTATGCTCCCGTTTATGTCGTGTGCGTGCGTATCCGCGCCTGCTCGTAAACGGTAACATTTCAAACGGTTTTTTTTCACGTGCTCGCGTTTCTAACTTACCTACTATGGATTATTCGAATACGACAATATATTATTATCGGACGTAGGTACAATATTCGACTGCCAAATGTCAAAATAGTAAACATTGTAATAGTTCATTATTATTATCGTTATCGTTTACCGTGGTCGGAGACCGCACGGCCACACACGTCCACGTCATTGCGAGCGCCTCGGCGGCTGTCCCTCTGATAACAGAAATCGATATATTATTATACACGCCGCGCTGCACAAGGCGAATAATTCGTAAACAACGGACTTTAACGTACGCAGTGGAGTGGCGAACTGCAAATTTTCCAGAGGCAAATTACAAATATCCCAAGTGTTAATGAATAATAATATGTATTAATATATTATTAATATAACTAATTGTATTTCAGATCATTATTGACTACCTATTGAGTATATATCATATTACATTTACTAGGGGACCCATCGGCCACCAAACACCCATATATTTAAGAATAATCTCAGAGGCGTTCTGAAATTTCCTTTCACCATGCCACTGAAAGCACGCGGCTGTTGGCACGCGATTTTATTAGATACTGCAGTATTATAATATATTAAGGCAAATGCAATATGTATTATGCACAAATCGATTTGCGTTGCATGAAAATTATTTTTGCTCGTCGTCTGTGTGTCTGATGACAGTGATTTGTGCATTGTAATAATATCATCAAGATAATTAAATCTATATATAGCTAGGTAATAGATCTCGTCTAAATAAAAAATATTTAATTTTGACCATTCATACTATATTCAAATAAAACATCCGTCTGAAAAAGATTGTCTAGATATTTATTAGATATCAATATTTTAGGTAATTGATAATTTTTCTAAACTTTAATTGCTTTAATATTGTTGTCAGTTTATTCGATTTGATTTTCAAGTTCTTAACAGTTCTTTTGTATACCTACATTTATTAAACATGTGTTTTACTATATAGTTTTTTTCTAGTAAGTACCTATACATCTTCCCAGGGGCGCCATTTGGGGGGGGACAGGGTGTGCACTCGCACACCCTGTAATTTTGGTGTCCACAATTGGCCTAGGCCTCATTAATACTATAGCCTTCAGTTTGCTTATCTTTAATTGTACATGCACCGCAGCTATTCACTGATAATCATAAATTATATTATAATATCATTGTGTTCTTCAATTTGATAATTGATAAATTGATATCGGTATCACTTTATCCACTGGCACACACAAATATGTGTAATTGGTAAATGGTTACTGATAAACAACAGACATAATAATACGCATCTATTCCAGGGGCGTCATTTCAACTTTTCAATAGGGATGCAAACATTTGAATCAGGCCAATTGTTCCCTCCACCAGGCCATTTATATATCCTGTTTATTTAGCGGAACTTAAAAAAATTTCCGATCGCTTCTCTCACTCATATCCCCACATTTTAATATTCAAATACTCATTAATACTTTTTTTTCAAACATATTTAACCAATTTCATATAAATAAAAAAAGATATATTTAATAATATTTGTATTAAACAATAACATAAAAAGAAATACAAAAACTAATTATGTACTTTAACTAAGTAAATAGGTATAACAGTAAAAGTACTAAAAGTTATTAAAAAAGTAGATATCTCCTATTCTTCATTTTCCCAAAATCATCCACAGCTTTATTTAAATCTATTTTATTGGCCTCGTCCTTTTCAACGTTTATTATCATGAGATCACTGAGAAAAACTGAAAACACTAGAAACGTTTTTTTAACAATTGGCCTGGAGGCGGGAAAAAATTGGCCTCTTTAATTGTTTGCACACCTTAAAAAAAAACTGAAATGGCGCCCCTGCATCTTCCATTCTCGTTGTAAGCACCTATGAGGGTAATCGTATTTAAAAATCAAATCCAGAATTATTATCCAACGCAATGTGCAAAAGTGGTTATCTCTCATCTATATGTTATTATCTAGATAAAACTTGAACAAACCATCCATTAATAGTTTATCTAGGTAATTGTTGGGTTATTTTCACACGATACTTCAACTGCATCACGTGATGCACGTCACACGTGGTGGCGTGGTGCTTAATCGTCATCTCGTTACCTGCACGTGCGGCATATATAATATTTTAAATTTTTACGAGTACATGTGGAAGACGGGTAGTAGAAATACCATAAGAGGCAAATAAAATCTACAGCAGGTGCATAATATATAATAATCGAATTGAAAATTGAGATCTTTCGCTCATAAATAATAATAATACAATATACCTATATCAATAACAGACAACGATCTACTTAATAATTCACAGGTGGAGATTTGATTAAATTTAAAGCGCAGCTTAAATCATTCTTTACAAAATAAGATGTGGGGGCTTTGAAAAATGTTCAGTAATTAAGCTCCACCTAATCACATGATGCTTAATATAATAATGTGTTGTATGTCTATATTTTAATATCGAGTCTGTCATCTGTGCGTGATATATATATATATAATATATTATAGTATCGGCAAGGCTGAATGAATTATCGCGGCAAGGACCCTTTGCAAGTGCAGCGATGATACCATATTATTAGTGATGTGGATTTTACGTAAAAAAATTTTTTGGTAATTTACCGTGTAAATTTACTGGTAAATTTACCAAATTTACGGTAAAATTGGTAAATTTTTTTTAAAATTCAAATTAAAGCGTACCTGTTGAATTTGTTCACAATATAATGTAAAAAAGGCAAGATAAATATAAAATAAAGTATTAGTATTTAATCCATTTATTAATAATAACAATTAATAATTATTAATTTATCATAGTAAAATATAAAATAAAAATAATTTTAATCTGTTTAAAAAAAAATAAAAAACAACTTATAGTATAATGAAAACAGCATGTGTAAGTTAACTATACCTATCACCTATGTATTAATGGCTACAACTCATTTGCGCACATTTACCTTTTTTACAACTCATTTGCGCACAAAAACATAACTCATTTGCGCACAATTTACGAACAATAGAAACCTTTTTTCCAAGAATTTTATCCACGTATAGGGTGTACATAATCTCCGTACCACCATATTTTCGATTTGGTCAATACTGATAGTGGACAATTATTATACTCAAACAACATTTTCCTTCACCCTTTAAAAGGCTTAGGACTTTCTGTTTCATCATATTCTGATGTTATAGACTGGCGGGTTTAAAAATTTTGTTTTAGCTATTACACATTATTCAAAATTTTGTCAAATTACAATAAATTAGGTACAATCATTAATAATAAATTAATCATAATAAAGATTAAAGCTTGTCCCACACGACTAGTGTACTTGGCGAGTATTAATGCCATTTTTGATAGATAAGAACTGATGTGAAATCACGTTATGCTTTAAGACTATATAAGGCTATATTGAAGATACTCCAATAACGGGTGATCATTGATGATTGATATCAATAATATTGAACGTGTAACGTGTTGGACAGCTTAAGACACCCTGTACACCCAAAACTGTACCTAAAAGCTGGTTTTCATTGTTTACTATTTTGTGCGCAAATGAGTTGTCGTAAATTTAAAAAATTTATTAATATGTGCGCAAATGAGTCTCCACCGTATTAATAAGGGCCTCGCCACACTGCGGTATTTTCGCCGTCAGGTCCGGGCGGTTTTACGCCATCGCGCCAAACTAGAACGGTTTTACCGTTCGCGCCATTGAGCCAAATTAGAACTTAGGTTAGAACTTAGGAAGACTATACTCCATTCCCATACACATGTTGGTGACGATAGAACGTTTTTCACTTAATCATAGTGTTTTATTACTTAAAAAACAGTACCAGTAACCGCGTACACCATTACACAATAATTCGTATCACGTAACTGTCGTTATCATTTTATAAAAATCCTAATTAGTAATTTGTATTATAATCCTAATATCTTGATAAAAAATACAAAGACGTAC